GTGTGTACTACCTGGGAGATTTTCCTTCACTTTTTGCACCAAAGACACAACAGGAAGTTAGAGAAAATTTGCCAAAGCAAACACTCTTCGGTGTTCCAAACCTGTGCATGCACAGCGCAATCTCCCTACCCTATAGTAGCGGCTGAGCACACTATGCATGTGCAGGTTTGGAACGCCATGACGTGCTCACTCCTGTGATACTGGGAGCCAACATCTGAAGCGTCCCTGAACTTAGGCAGGACACGACTGATCACTTTATTGGGCGTCTTTGTGGATGTCGGCCATGGCCTACTGGTAAGGCCTTAAAGCATGGGTGTCAAACTGGCAAAATGGGACTCAAGTCCCATGAGGCATTGCAAAATTGATAGTTACAAGCATGACTCTGAAAGGCAGAGGCATGATGGGACTTGTAGTTTTCCAACAGCTGGAGGGCCGCCAGTTTGACATCCCTGCCTTAAAGGATAAGTTCACCTTTGGGAAGATGTTACATGTTCCACCTGTTCTTAGGTAACATGTTCCCGTAGCTGCAGCCGTCCCCCCCCCTCCCTCTGACAGATAATACAGGGAGAAGTATCCCCGTACTGTCAATTTTGAAAACAGTGGGGCAGTGCAGGGTTTCGCCCACACAGCCGCATCATTCATTCATGGACTACTGTGAATGAATGAGTACCTACAAGTCCTGGTAGCCTTTGCGGCTGTTGGCTTGTAGTTTTCAATGGACTACCACAGTGCTGTGGTAGTTCATTGAAGCTTCCTGTCAGAATATCTGCCTGACCATAGGCAAGCAGATATTCTGACAGGTCTGCAGGAGACCTGCATGGCATCAGTGATTGACTGATCAGTGGTGCAATGCTTTCCATGCTCCTGCAGGCAAAAATAATAAATGCACATTTTTTACCTGCATTTATTATTTTTGTCAAAAAGGTGAAATTATCCTTTAAAACTAAGAAGACAGTTTCAAAACTGCTCAACACTTTACCCCACACTGGGGCCCATAGACAGCATAGTGGGGTTGATTTACTAAAGCTGGCTCACTCAGAATCTGCTGCACCTGTGCATGGCAGCCAATCAGCTTCTAACCTCCTCTTGTTCAGCTAGGCTTTAGCAATAAAACCTGCAAGCTGATTGGCTTCTATATAGGAGTGCACGAGATTCTGAGTGAACCAGCTTTAGTAAAACCCCAGTGTGACTTTAAGGCTGGGTTCACATATGTGAACGTGGTGCAGCTCCGGATCAGGACGAAAATTCGTGCAGCCGCACCACCCGCACAGAGAAATGCAGACCCGCGGGCGAGTGCCATTAATTCTAACGGCACACCGCCCGCACTGGAACACACAACCGTACTGGCATCTGAAGTTCCCGTTCGGGCTGTGTTTTCAGAAGAAGTGCAGGGACTTTTTTCCTGCGTGTCCCACGGGAGTCCATTCAAATGAATGAGTTCTCGTGCACATATGTGAATCGGGGGTTAGTGAAAAGGTGAACTTGGCCTTTAAGAGGACCACACACGTATGGACATGATCAATTGGATGCAACTAAAATGAGTGAGATGAATAACAGACCACTCTCTCCATTCAATTGATTCTGATGCTGGCAAGTTGTGTGATATTATCAATTGTTCCTGATCGATTCCTATCTGTATAAGTGTCAAACAATCATAACAGATCAATTATAGTTTTCAACAGATCCTTTCTGAACGGTTTGTGATTGTCTTAGATTGTAAGCTCTGATGATCAGGGCCCTCTGAATCCTCCTGTATTATAATTGTACGCTCTGCCCTTATGATGTAAAGTGCTGCATAAAAGTGCTATATAAACCCTGTGTAATAATAATAATAATGTATACCCTATGTGCTGCATGGCTTGATATTTTTACTGACAATGAATCACCTGTTCATGCTTATTTAGATCCATTACAAATTGATAAGTGTATGACCACCTTTAGGCTTTGTTTACATGGGCGGTAAATACAGGTAGTGGGCTGCAGTTTTATCATCCCACAATCACCAAGCCATAAGTTAACCTGGCAGCAGCCATACTAGCATACACTGCTACAGCATTGCCAAACATAGACAACAGGCCGTGCTTGGCAGACAACCAACACCAATCGGGGCTCATTAAGGGAGTGGGGGCGCACTGAAACTGCATTTGGGGGCTGTGCGGCAAACTTTTAATGGTTGGGCAATGGGTAGTAATATATTGCCTCTGAGCTGCCACCGATTACTTTTCAGAGGGGAGCCAATGACAGCTGTACATATAATCAAGTAGGCCCAAGTTTGTGTGTGTTCAGATCCTAGTCCAGACCCACGTGAGCGAGACCGCCAGGATGCCGTTACTGTACTCGGCCAATCACAGGCGCTCGAGGCATTCCCCGCCCCACAGCCACATGTATACATGGAGCGTGAATATGTATGTGGCGGGGAATGCCTCGGGCACCTGTGATTGGCCCAGTACAGGTGACACCTGGTGGTGTCGCTCACGTGGGTCTGGACTATCCCTAGAAACAAAATCCCTCACACAGGTGTCCCCACTGGACGATCTCCCCTCGCTTCCCAGTGTCCCCATTGGACGATCTCCCCTGCCTTCCCAGTGTCCCCATTGGACGATCTCCCCTCCCTTCCCAGTGTCCCCATTGGACGATCTCCCCTCCTCCCTTCCCAGTGTCCCCATTGGACGATCTCCCCTCCCTTCCCAGTGTCCCCATTGGACGATCTCCCCCCTCCCTTCCCCCGATTTCCCCTCCCTTCCCGTGTCCCCATTGGACGATCTCCCTCCCTTCCCAGTGTCCCCATTGGACGATCTCCCCTCCCTTCCCAGTGTCCCCATTGGACCAGTGTCCCCATTGGACGATTCCCCTCCCTTCCCGTGTCCCCATTGGACGATTTCCCCTCCCTTCCCCAGTGTCCCCATTGGGACGATTTCCCCTCCCTTCCCGTGTCCCCATTGGACGATTTCCCCTCACTTCACGTGTCTCTATTGGACGATTTCCCCTCACTTCCTGTTTTGGTGACAACACTAACATTCAGGACAATTTCCTCTGTCACCTGTGTAGAGGGTGAATCTCCCCAATGTGGGCAGCAAGAACAGCCTATCACAAGGTGTGTGTCCTCCATATATATTATAAACTGCCCCCAGTGATTGTATCTTCACCTGATACAATGGAAAGGATGGAGAATACAGAGCTCCACATTCCCTGGATCCCCCCTCATTGGTGCCCTCAGCCGCCCCCTCCCTCCCCTCATCCACCCACCTCGTCCATCTCCTGGGCCATCTGCCCGAGCTTGGCGTCATCCTCCAGCAGCTCATTGAGCTGAGTAAGGGACAGCTGGTTGAACTTGTTGTTGTCCATAGCCATGGTCACGCTGCCTCAGAGCCGGTCCCGAGAGAAGTATCCGGTGAGGCGGTGGCGGCGGCCTGCGGTTCCTTCCCGGTCCCGTCACCCAGCGGTGCCCGCCTACAATGGCGATGTCTCCAGCGACTCTCCCGGGCTCCGCCCATAACAGGAAGAGGCGTGCCCGCACAGCGTCAACTGTCAACTTGGAGGAGAGGGCGGGGCCGAGCCGTCCTAGTCACATGTTCCGGCTGTCATGAGTGAGCTGGGAAGGTGGACGGTGACAGAGGGCACGGCGAGTGACGTCACTCCCTACCTATACGGGACATGTGATTCCTGCACTGAGAGAGATAGGGGGCGCTATACCTGGCTACAATACTAGATGCCTGCCTGCTTCTCACTTATAGCGAAGTACAACTAAAGGGAAATTCACTTTTATGTGTTGAATAGAGTTGGATTAGACCCCCTAACAGATATTCATTGGAGCCTGTGGCCGCATTAGGGAGATTCACCCTCTCTATTTATCCTGTTTACTGTTATCACTGAAAGTGGAAGAAAATTCCAAATGTTGGGTTGTCACCAGAACAGGAAGAGGGGAAATCTTTGAATGGGGACACTAATTCTGGTGAGACTTTCTCTCAATTTGGAGGACCCTCCTGGGTATTCCAGCCGACCCAATACTCCTCCTAAGCTCTGTCCAATCTCCTAGTACTCTAATGCAGCCGTTCATACCACAGGATCATAGCAAAGACAGAAGAGATCCTCCATAGTGTAAACCAGTATTTTATTCAAAGAAAAACGAATTAAAATTGCCCACTCACATGTAATACGAACATATTCAGCTTTTACCCATATTATGGGTGTGATAGCATGGTTCCTGGTGTCCCAATATGGCGACCGTGCTGGAAACGACGTCACTGTGCACCAGAAGTTCTGTCACTGTGTACCTGGATTCAGTGGACTTTCATCTGGAATTACCATTTATGTGTGTTGGCCACTTGCACTTATGTATTAGTTGTGTTCCCCAATAGGGAATCACTTGCCTCACATTCATTTAGTCCCCCTGATTGGGGATATTTATGTCTCTGGGGGGTCACTTGTATAGATTGTGATGGTTCACCTATATGTCTTTATATGTCATTATTTTTCATTGATGCATTTGTTTTAGTGTTTATTTAGCGCTACACCATTGTTTTCAGTTTATCTTTTACTTTGTGGTTAAAGGAGGGTGTGAGCAGTTTAGGGTAGGGATTATCTATTTTAAGCGCAGGGTTTTTTTTCCTTATTTTATGGTACACTGAAGCCAGTCAATCCTGGAAATGTATAATGCTTTCTTCACAGCTGAACTCTAGGATTGTAAGAAAAAAACGTAATAATACATTGGAAATACATTGGATCACCTGTGCATTTTTCATTTTTTGCGCTATAAACAAAAAAAGACAGACAAATATATTTTTTACTTTTTGCTATAAAACATATCCAGTAAAAAAATGTAAAAAAAATCAAATTTCATTATAAATTTAGGCCAAAATGTATTCTGCTATGTCTTTGCTAAAAAACAATCCCAATACATGTAAATTAATTGGTTTACGTGAAGGTTATAGCGTCTACAAATGGCGATATAAATACTGGAATTTCTTTTTAATACTAGTAATGGCGGCGATCAGCGACTTATTGTGGGACTGCAGCGGGCATTCTGACATTTGTGGGGGGGACTGACTAACTGCCACTGACATCCCAATGACACTAATACAGCGATCAGTGCTAATAAAAAGCACTGACACTGTACTAATGACACTGGGCAGGAAGGGGTTAACATCTGGGGAGATCAAAGAGTTAACTGTGTGCTGTTTTACATCATGTGCTGTGTGTGTTGTACTAGTAAAACATATCGCTGTGTATTTTTCTGCTGTGCAGAGAAATACAAAGCAGCATGTTCTTCCTGGCAGGAGAGAGACCTGTGTTGCTTACACGTCTCTCCCATCAGTGATACTTGGCAATCGCCAGGTGCAATCTCCATCCGGGACCCGGTAATTGACATTTGTAGCCGCCAACGGCAACATGGGTACGGCGGCGCACACGCCCTCTACCTAGAAATGCAAAATCAGGTATATATACATGATTTTGCGCCTCCCTGTAGTAGTTCTGCTATAGGGCGGTCAGGAAGCGGTTAATGGCTGGACCACAAAGGCTCTGGAGGAACAACTGTTTCTGCTTTCCTTTTTTTTCTTCTTTTTCTCTTTACCTACCAAAGATCACTGCCGTAGTAATATCGGGTCCACTGTTATGTTTTTTCACTCTATATAGATCAATGTGACTTTTCAATCATTAGACCTTTAAGATTATAATACTTACCTTACTACTTTCTCCAGCATAGTCATATAGTAAGTTAGATTGAAAAGAGTTAAAACAAGTCCATCAAGTTCAACCAATAGAAAAAAAGAACAAACAAATAGAAAATCTCCATATACAGAATCCTATACCCGCAGCTGATCCAGAGGAAAGCAAAAAAAAAACAATTAATCATTATCCAATTTGCTCCAGTAGAGGAAAAAAATTCTTCTGAGGAGGGAATTGGATATTCCCCGGATTAACTACCCCTGTTGTTACCTATAAGCCTTCCTCCAGAGCTGTGACTGGTTCCCGGCAGCTCCTCTGTAAGCAGTGAGTTGCTCCAGTTGCACCCCAGCTTCCTATGTGTACAATAACAGGGTTGATGTCCCTTTTAAATGTTGGTTGTCAATGGTGTGTTCCCCCTAAATATTGGTGGTTAGTGATGTTTTTGTCCAATAGCACTGGTTGTCCGTGCGACCCTTTATTTCCTAGTGTGACCCCTTTGTAGTCACTGTATTTTGTAGGCGTACATTTTAATTGTCGTTGTCAGAAAAATCCAAGCAATACCTAGATCCTATTGTTGGCCACATGCATTACATGCGACTGTGAAGTTTTATTACTTCCAATGAGTAGGTTTTGGAGCAATCTAAAGCTGGCCATACACATGTAGATTTTTGAACGAGAATATTTGTAAGAAAAGTCATACGAAAATTCTTTAAACGTTCAATGAATGGACGAATGTTGTTCAAAAATTGTCTTTTGCTTTTAACATTCGATTTTAACATGAATGTCATTTTGAATGATAACCACATACACTCGCCAAAAATTAGTTTGATCGAGAAAAGCTTTCACTCCTGCCCCTTCAAAATGTTCCTGTTACTGCTGTCGAAAACGAACATCGATTTGACCCCACTAACGATTAGAAAATGAAACAATTATTCTTGAAATGAAAATTTTCAAACGAAAATCTTAAGTCAGTGGACCACCCAGGTCTGTATTCCTGCCATTTCACCAATGAAATGTGGACAGTGGGAGCAGTAGTACTTAGGAAACGCAGCAAAGGTCCCAACACCTTAAAGCGGAGCTACACCTAAAAGGGGAAGTTCCGTTTTAATGCCCTGTCCCCCACTCCCCATTGGGGATTGGCACCTTTGGGGAGCGGGGGTAAGCGGGTACCCGAATTTAACAGGTACCTGCTCCCACTTCTGCTGCAATCGGAAGCAGAAGTTGTTCCCCCCTCTCTCCCCGTAGTCTCCTGGGACACGTGACAGGTTCCAGAAGACTACGGGGCCATTCACAAAGTGCAGCACTTCTCGCGCATGCGCAGTGGGCACCCGGCTGTGAAGCCGCAAGCTGTCACAGCCGGATGCCCACACTAAAGATGCTGGTGCCAGGGAGAGAAGACGGCCAGTGAAACCAGCGGTGGTGAGGACACTGCTGGACCGAGGGACAGGTAAGTCGCTGTATTTTAAAAGTCAGCAGCTACAGTTTTTGTAGCTACTGACTTTTTTTTTTTTTTCAGCTGGAACTCCACTTTAACTTTCTAGTCCCTGCTTCCGTATAGGCAGCCTTGAACTGAATATTCCTTATTCCAGCACTCCCTGTATACAACAGAGCAGGTCGATCTGACAGTCCTAGCTAAACACTCATACTGGTCATCAGTACTGGTAGCCTCTTGCCTCAATATACCAGGACCAGGCTTCTGATGCTGAAAACAAAACTAGCAGGACCCCTCAGCGTCCTTCCTATTCGAGTTCTGCTGCTGGAACATGGACCACCCGTGTGATGTTTTTTTTATAGTCTATGTAATCATATTATACGTATAGAGGCTTATTTCCTTTTTAGTTCCATTCTAATTGCTAGTTTAGCTTCTTGATCAAATATATTCTATAACAGAATGCATATGACAGATTTCTGAAAGAAGTAAGAATAAACAAAGGAACCATGCAGGTGTGACCTATACCTTTTGTCCACTGGTATATACAATGTTCATTCCCTTTTCTTCCTAGCTTTATAGAGCACATCGGCTACTTATATTACCTGGTATGCATACAATTATTCCTTGGTGCCCCATCATGTATGCCTTGCCCTTTACCTGGTTCTCAGTTTTTAAAGTGTTACTAAACCCAGGACCCTACAAAACATGGAAATGCAATTATTTTAGTAAATATAAACTGCTAAATCCCTTTTCTCATCAGCAGTTAAAGCAGTCTTCTGACTTCTATCAGTGTCCATCAGAGCACTGGTTACAGCTTGTAGGAAAAGTTTTCATTCTCCTATCACTGTCCTATGAGGCTGCGGGACCCCTGACCCTCTGTCTGGACAGTGCTGAATGGCACTGTGCTGATCACAGGCACCCACAGAAGAAAAAGAAAAAAGCTCTCTAGCAATACACACTAAACTGAGCATGTGCAGCTTGCCTCAAGGCTGTGTTCTATCAGGAGATGAAATGGGGACTGTGGAAGAAGGGGATGATCAGAGAAGACAGAATCAAACATAATTTTTACGCAATGCAGAGGATTAACCCCTTAGGTTCCACAGTGAGTATAACAAGCATGCTTTACTGCATATACAGACTGATTTTACTGTTGTGGGTTTGGTAACACGTTAAATTATAACTAAAGGCAATGCTTTTTTAGTTTTGTATAGAGTGGAGAAGCATTGGAACTCCTATGAGGTTTTTATTGCTACCTGTGTCCCCGTTACTGCTGTGGGTTTACTAACACTTGAAGTACAAGTGACTAAGGGATCATTTCACTCGTTGGTGAATATACAGGGGATATACCAACTAGATTTCTAACCGACTAGATTTGTGAACAACAAAATGTTACTATATTAGACTTAAAACAGAGGTCCAGTCAAAATTTTAAAAAAAATAAAAGTCAACAACTACAAAAACTGTAGCTGCTGACTTTTAACTCACCCACCCCTCAATCAAGCGGTGTGTTCACAGCAGCCGGGTTCACCGACCATTCAATTTGGGCACCCGGCTGTTACAGTTTGCGGTTTCACAGCCGGGTGCCCACTGCGCATGTGCGAGAAGAGCTGCGCTTTGTGAATGGTCCTGTAGTCTTCTGGGACCTGTCACGTGTCCCAGAAGACTACGGGGAGGGAGGACAACTTCCACTTCCGATCTCCTAGGCAATCGCAGTGGAAGTGGGAGCGGGTACCTGTCAAATTCAGGTACCCCCCTCCCTCCCTGTTCCCCAAAGATGCCAATCCTTAACAGGGAGTGGGGTATGAAGCCTTAAAGTGGAACTTCCCCTTTTGGGTGGCGCTCCGCTTTAAAGGTAAAAAGACAAACCTTAGAGCATCAAATGCAGGGACTGAGATCAATGATCTTAAAGCATATCTAAACCCTGTTATGTATTGCAGCTTACCAGTCCTTAGATATGATGGCTGCATGTGTTATCTTTTTTTCAGGCTTGTTTTCTAATTTTCACCTCGTGATCCTGCCAGTACCAAACTTCCTATTGTTACACCTCTCATTTACTGTACTCTGTTTATAGGTAAGTGGAGCTGTCTTGCTAGGATGTTGGTTCCTGATTTGAACAATGTATCACCTCACTCTCCCCTCCTCTCCCATAACATGGGGTGTGTTCTGTAGTTAAGACAGGTGATCTGGGCAGTTTGTACCAGTGTACACATGAAATTAGAAGCACACTGGACTTCTGGCAGAATCAACCATTTTTGCAGTTCTCTAACAGGTATAATAAAAGTTGTTCAATAGTATATTTGTAGGTAGGTGCAGTTTGTTTTCTCCACTGCAGATAACGCTCAAGCGAGTGGCACTAAAGTCTGGAGAGAGGAAGTCCGAGGGAAACATTGTTTCTCTATGGTTACCTGGGTCACTGGATTCAGTGTTTTGGTTGGCTGTGCTGCATCCAGGTGACCCTCGGCGGCCATCATGGGTCAGCAGGGTCTAATTAAGTCTCTGCCCCCAGTTTTTAGCGTGTTTGGTGCATGTGGCTGGTGTACAGAGAGAGACCTTGCTGGTTAGGGAAAGCAACTAGCAGTAGGGGAAGATTCCTGACAAGGAGGGAAAGGTTAGGGACTCACATTCTGGATAGGAGCTTACCTCTTGGGACCAAACCGGCCAGGTTGCTCTTTACTCTCTGCGACAGACACTGTCGAAACCTCACCTCCCCTACATCTGACCACATTGAACTGTTCATTGTTCAGGTTTCCATACTGCACACTTTAAAGTGGCTGTAAACTTCTAACATGAAACATGAACAAAGCATATCCTTCTATAGTGTGTACTAGCCTCATCCTAAAGCACCAAGAATAATTTCTCTCTGCAGTCTCTTCCCTCTGCTATCTGCATATGTCACTGATAATAGTCCACGCCAAATCCACAGCAACCCGAGGGGGGCTCGCCTGCCCCCAGCCCAGCACATAGCAGCTGACAACAGTTGTGTATATTTCCCCATGATTCTATGTAGAGGGAGAGTATCCAGGTTTCAGTGACTTCTATGCTATAGCTGTACAGTGTGTGTGATGTCAGATCTCTGCCCACTTCCTTCTACTGCTGAGAAAAATCCTTTGATCTATGCACTTTGAACTGATGTATAGAAGTGAAGGCTGCAGATAAATGGGTGCAGCTTATGAAGGAGGATTTTCTTCATCTCGATGTATAACCTCAGGCTGGTCACTTCAGTGAGTCTGGGATTAAAATCACAGTGAAAGATGAATAACT